CTAGACCCGTTCACCTTGTCTCGGCGATGCTCGAAGTTATTAAAATAATATATTGTATCAATGTATACCTACTCGGAATACGAAAAATAAAATCAGACAGCTATAGTAATATTAGGTGTAGGTATGCGTATATAGTAGATATAATTATTTACTACTCTCTACTTATAGCTTAGCCGAAAACGGATGACGAGCAGTGACACTAAGTTTTTCTTTTGTCGTCGACGTCTATATGGTAGGTATTTAAAATAATTTATACCAAGGTATTATAATTTAGTGTCTGCGATAAAAACGGACGAGGGGGTGTCACACTAATAATCGTAATAATAATACCGGTTTGTTATTTCTGAGCACGCAACAGCCCCAAACACTGGCCGCCCCTCGCGCCGCCGCCTCTGTGGCCGAGGGCGCAGACGGAAATACTTGAACACAATTTATCATACAATACAGTATAATAATAAAATATCGAAAAAAGCGTCCGACAACGACCGCCGGATGAACGCAATTTGCTGGACTCGTCGACTGCAATAATATTATAGGCACGGAGTTCCGAGTTGCATATAGTCACCGCACAACGGCACTCTCGACAGCAAAATGGTCGTCGTTAGAGCAATCGTCGGGCGTGACGGTTATTATTATTTTTATAATATACTTAGGTAACAGCCTGCAAAACGATCTCACGCAAAATATGCTCAAGTCCTCTTTTCGAACACGGATCCGACTGAACGCACACGCAGTTGTCAGTGCTCACACGCGTATTTAGGTGTATTATGCGGAAAGAACGACGCGCATTACGATTTTTAGGTTTTTTTTTTTTTGAAAAAGAGAGTGAGGCATATCTACTCGTACTTCACCTCGCGTCCCACATGGAGTTTTTTTTTTTTTTTGAAAAAGAGAGTGAGGCACATCTACTCGTACTTCACCTCGCGTCCCACATGGAGTTTTTTGTTTATATTTCTGTTTGTTTAATAATAATAAGCATTATAATATTATAGTTAATAACCTTGGAACGAGTGTTATCAGCTGATATTTGTAAACGTTAAAATATGTCAAAATACCTTACTAGGTATAACAAGTGACGTGATATGATATAAGTAGTTGAGTGTAATGGGTACCAATACACCTAGTGGTAATATTTCGTTGGTATATTATTTTAATAAATTATAAATTGTATTTTAATTAATATTTAATACTCTGTTATCGACGTTCAGTATTCTTAATTTTAAATACATCGTCAATGTTTTTGACAACATTTAAAATAAACTAACCATATTTATATCAACATAACTATGTGTTTATGTATGTACCTTTATTATTTTTATTTGTTTATTATTCTTTAATCTATTCCCTTCGAGACTCACGTCTGTCAAAACAAAGAAACATCCTTAGTGATAGACGTTGCAGTGTAACCTTTAAATATTAATGTATACAAATAATTTCAAAACTGCTACATAAATTATTATTATTATTATTATACATTGAAACCTCTCCCTATCAAACACTCGTGAACTAAAATTTTGTCCATTATTTGGAGGTGTCCGCTTTTCAGCGATAGTTCAATTTAATGAAAATTATTGCACATGACAATTATTAATAGCTACAAATATTAAATGTTATTATGATGTAAGTATACTTGTATTTATTGTATGCTTAAAGGTCTCCTACACACTTTGTGGCGTCAGTAAAATTAGTCCAGACACAGTGTATGCGAACCTTTATAATTTATAATTATTTAATTATGTAGGTACCTACTATGTATTTATTATTTAAAATTTATTGAGAAGGTAAATTTCATAAGATGGGGGTGTATTATTTCAGTTGTCATCCAGACGTTTTTATGCCAATGACAATCGATGGGGAAGGTTGTTCTAAACTTTGATTTATGCAATCCATAGTTTATTATTCAATACTTACCGGAAAAATTATCAAAATTAAAAATTAAAATGTCATAAGAATATGTAGATTTCAGAGGGGTACTTAAGAAAAAATAGTGAAATCATGTTTCCCCCCCTCCCTCCCGAAAAAAAGTCCCGTTTTTAGATGTGTCTATAGTTTATCCGTGTGTTCATCTATTTATTTTTTAAATGATATTACGTCAATATATAAATTGTTTTGTTTCATAATCTGAAGCAGAAAAGCATAATTATCTACCTATTTTGTTTATCTGAAATCGAGTCGAAGTAATAAATAATATCGATAATTCAGTATTTAAAGAGTTGTGCTTACGTTATTATTGCGTTTTAGGTGCTCTCTGCGCTGTATACAGATAACATACGTTCGATAGTTACCACTGAGAGTGTTAAGGTTTTTATCACTACCTATTAAATTATATATTATTATGCTCCTCTGGCGAGCGCGTTGACAATGTGTCTTCAACGGAGCACGACGTGCTATTAGTCGCCGATACTGTTATGATTCGATTTCGTCGTCCGTGCAGTCGATTCGTTTTTTACCATAGTAATAATAGTATGTAATGAGCTATGCACACGTGGGTAATATACGAGTGGGTGTGCGAGTGTGTGCTTTCGATGAATACGTCCGACGATACGAGCAGATGAGTAACGCACAAAGACGGCGGCACTGTATACCGCCCGTGCTTCAAAATACCTGTATAATAAGATTTTTGACTCGAGAGGACGCACAACAATAACAAAATAACAACGGCATATTATATGGGTACGTGTGCGGATACATACGCATTATTTGCGTTGTCGTCGCCGCTCGCGAGACGGAGATATGGGCTCTTCGATGGCGTATAATACAATAATAATGTCATTTTATCGGTGTGCGCTGCAACAATAAGCGGGGGCGCGTTTTTGTACTCGCGAGAGAAAATATTTGTGTACGGACACGATATATTTTCATCGAGATCCTGCTCCTGCCCAGCGGTCCTCTGGTCGTTTACACGGAAAATGTCTGCTACGCTCGTCGGCAAAACGAAACGACCAGGCGTATTGTTGTCGTGCCGTTTATTATATTATTATGTATTGTACGATATCGCGAGTTGTATGCGATTTTTTTTTTTTTCGATTGTCGTTATACGACGACGCTGCCGCTCGTATGCAGTGCATAATGATGATATTATGTTGTTGCTAAAACGGGAAATCGTAAATCATGCCATACGCGTGTGTAACAGTACAGTTTTCGGTGATATCGGTTCTCCGAAACGACGAATTGCCGTCCCTTTCAATGCACCGGCGAGGGACTAAACGAATATCGCAGCTAGTGACTTCGCGGTGCAGACTCGTAACAATTATAATATTCCTGTAACGCGATAGTATGTGACTCTAATATAAATTATAAAACACGGGGGAGGGGGGATAATCCACTGCCCCGAAGAACCCAATCGCCGCATGTGGGTGCAGTTTGATCTTTTGCCTCACGATCCGAATGTTGGTAGTCAGTCAATCGGAATACACAGGGTTATTCAAAATGATTCATCCGATTTCAAATGCTTTATGGATTTGTACTTTTTAAGTTTATAATAGTTAATTAATGTGATACAATTAAATAAAAGAATTACATTTCAGACGTTTGTCACCTATAAAATATGTTCTATGTGGCTTCCCGCGAGGTCACACGAACAACATCTAGTCGGAACTCAAATACATTCCCTGCTTGAAATTGAATTAGCTCGTTAGACAAAGCAGTTTTTTAGAGTGTGGTCTCTGTCGGCCCGTGCCCAAATAGGTATGAGCCGATCCGACGATTTGTAAAAGTAATTTAAATGTTAAAAAATTATAACATTAATAAAAATTAATATATGTACTGCTTGGTTTTGCTGAAAACACGTCCACACAGTGCATAATATTACTTATTGGGTGTATATATTGTTCACGGAAATTCAATATGACAACGTATCCTCATCTATTTGTCTGAGATTTGATACACCGATACCGTCAGGTATATGGTCATCGGAGAAAGCAAATGAAACACTATATCACAATGAATATTTCCAGCTAGTGATAATTATATGCATTTTCATTGTCACTTGCCTAGGCAGATAGACTTTTACATTTTTTTAGTGAAAGCTATAAATCATCAGCTATTATACATAGTAGCCCCGGTAATAACTAATAACTCTGAAATAAAAAACCTTAAACTTGTATACTTTTATGATATGAATAAAAGCTATTGCATACCTTAGGATGTGGTTTTTCACAGAGTGATATTTACTTTCAATGTTCGAGGTGTACATAAAAAATGCAGTCTGCAGCGTAAGTACCTATGTATTATAGGTAAGTACTGACAACAACAATCTTTAATTTTTTAATACTTTTTTTTATTATTTAAATGGCATGCCGTACTATAAAGAATGGACTCCCACCTGTAATAGTGTTTTGATATATTTGAACGAATGAAGATGATTTATGAGCTATGAAAAACAGTGAAACATAGTAATAACGTCTAGGGACATTGCATTGTCACACAGTCCCATCATTTTTCGATCAAGACATAAGTTTTAATTGAACCAATTCGTCTCTGTGAATTAAATCTCAGCAGAATTTAAAGATAAGCTAAGGTACCCGTAAGTTTATAAATACTAAAATTTAACTTCGTTAACGTGTGTCATACAGGTTTTGTCTTACTGTTTGTATCATAATTCATAATGACTTATTATACTGCGTTATGTGCAAGATTCTTTATCATCATTACTTATAATATTGAATATGCTTCTATTTTTTATTCTTTTTTTTACATATTTAATGTATCTACTGAAGTATTTTAGACGTGTTAATTAATTAATTTATTTTTCAAATTTTAATAAACTATTTCTTGTTATTATGGTATCATCATTAAACAGTTTGCAGTTGTCATAATAAAAATACAAATTATGAAATAATAACATAACATTTTAAACTCTGCATAGAGGATCATGGAACTTAAAAAATGCACCAGTTATCTAAATGTATGTATAAATACCTTTTTCAATAATATTGATCATCAATGTTACCAAATTACGTCTAAGAAGTGTATTTCAATTATTGGTCAAAGTCAAACCATATTTCGTAAAAGGATAATTTTATTGCATAATATATTATATTACAAACAAACAAACAAAAATAAAATCGCAAAATCGTTAATGACGGTGGAAAGGCTAAGTAATGTAACCCAGAATAATGACATTTTACAGGAGCGACTAAAGTTTTAATAGTTTTGTTAAGAATAATTTTAAAAAATAATATAGTTTTTGCTCAAAATGTCAACAAAAAATTATTTGAGGGTATGGTAGGTTATGATAGACATAACCAGGTATATGATCACGTAGATCCTTTGCACAAGACATTGATTTTAAGTGAGTAATAAGTACATTGAAGTTGACGATTATAATGTTGTGTAGCTCGGCGTCACTTTACACACAAAAACATGTGGTGAGTACAACATACCGTAAAGCCGTATTCGATGTGATCATACCTGGTTGTTTCTATCATCCTGCATTTAAGGTTATTAAAAAAATACGTATTTATTAATATTTGGCTGTATCATGATTATCTATGTTTCGTCGGCGGTATGGGTTCCATAATTTGGCATTTCCACTGTCAATAATATAGGAGGTTACACAACTCTCTTGAATAATAATATTAATAATAATAGGTAATTTAGTTTATCTAATGCCAACGAGATTATACATAACAAAGAAGAAATAAAAACGAAAATGGATGAAATGGATTAAAAATTATTAAATCTCTTGTTGACGTCCATCTCGGGTACGTTGACGCGTTCTTGGTGTCTGTACACCCGCGATTTGTCCTGATGGTCTTTTATGCGGTTGTTGTACCTTTCTATCTGTTCTTGCAATATTTGGTGTTCGATCTGTAAATAATAAAATAATATATCAACACGATAATGTCAAGTGAACGTTTTATATTCAAATATGTATGTTTTTATTTAATAAATTACAGTATGTAACGCATTATCACGTGAAAAATACCGAAAACGCAATATATGTTATTAAAAAGGCGTACAATTATAGTTTGAGATTTGGGTGAGGGGGGCCCTTGACTCTTGAGGGAAGATTTTGATGAAGAAATCATATTTTCATGTACCTATTCTATTGTGGTGTAAAATGTTCAGATCTTGTGGCGGCTTAGCCCCCCTGATATTTGCTCCTATATGTATTGGTACTATAAGACACCAATATTGTTTTTGATAAACTCCATACTGGTTAAATGTTAATGATATGATATACCGTACCATTGCTCGTTCTTCGTCGAATTCCAAACATCCAATGCCGTCTAACTTTTCTAAATTGATCCGACCCTTCCACTGCACGCACACCCCGTTCATTATAAACGGCGATAATATATGGACCTGCAAAAAGATTAAATTATTAGTTTTTTGGTTTTGTTTCCCCTGAAAACCACTGACAAAACTGAAAAATTAATATCAGTATAATAGTTAAATACAAAGTGGGTCTATCTATAAGTGCAAGCAGTGACATGATTTCACACATTATTTAACCCCGCTCGCTCTTTCAGCTGTAAAATTGTATATATTCCTACCTATCTCATACCCTGCAATTATTAGATTTTTTTTCGGATAAACTTTTCGCCAAACTATTGGTTCGAAAAATGTATGGGTAAATGTACGTTGTACGTCGACGATTTCAGAAACAATTTTAAGATAACCGTTTAAAAAATCAACAAGGTTGGTGGGCTTATACACACACGATAAACAAGTAAAGACTAAAAAAATAAAGGCAACACAATAAACGTTTTAGAACGAAATAAAATATAAAATGTACCTTAAATTGTCTCGGCGCTTTTCAAATAATAATAATAATAATAATAATAATAACGAACACTCGTTATGATATAATGATAACAGTCTATTAAATAACAAAAACATTTTGCATTGAGTAAATATTTGTCGCCGTCGGAACTCATAAAATCGAATTATCCGAGACAATACACAGTGCGGAGTTATGCGCTTCAAAAATACTGCAGAGGTCGAGGGGGTGCTATAAGTACCCCGGCGGGCACCCCCGCGATTTGCAACCCGCGAACTTAATATTTATTCGGAACAATATGGCATTGTATTTGCATTGTATTGCGTTGCGTAACAGTCTCGGCCAACACCACACGGCACTGTCTCGCGGAATTCACCTTACGCCGCGTGGCGTCCCTCGCACATGCCTCGCGACGATAATAATAATAATAATAATAATAATAATAATAATAATAATGATGATGATGATGCGCATCGTGTGTACACCGCGTCGGCGATAAAGACGACGCCCTGTGAATCGCACGGTACAATATTAATACAAAATATGTAATATAAATAATATAATAATATAATGAATACAATATTGTAAGGCTGCCGGCGTGAAAAAAATATAAATATATAATATATAAAATATAAATAGCCGGCCGTGACGTTTTGTGCCGTCACACTCGGGAAATTACATCCCTCGGATGCCGAGGTGTTATATAATAATATATTGTATATATTTTATTGCGAGCACAACGGCGCAGGGTTAACGATTACATACGATGTACAACGTACAATGCGCATCGCACGCTGAGTCCGTATACGCAATATAATAATATTATAGTAATGTGTATATAATGTACGATTGTTATTATCATTGCTATACGTATTATATACACAGGATCACGCAACGCGCTTATTGTCCTGTATCCTTATGTATATACATATTGCATAATGCCTGTGCATGTATATAATATATACGAGTACGATACAATCGATTATCGTCCGTGCTATTATAATAAGGGCGTATATAGGTCCCATCGTCGCATTGTGCACGTAAACGCACATTATCGTCCGGCGCGTTTCCTGCCGTGATTTCCACCGTTTTTACGATATTTTGTCCGTCGTGTCCGTAAGTATAACACATTATAATATATTATATACGTATCGGTGGCAATAACGATATATTACGTGCGGTGCGCGACTCATAGTCCGACGTTAATTTATGTCGTTTGTGTGTGTGTGTGTGTGTGTGTGTGTGTGTGTGTGTGTGTGTGTGTGTGTGGGTGTGTGGATGTGTGGGTGTGTGGGTGTGTGGGTGTGTGCGTGTGTGTGTGTGTGACGCCGAGGAGAACGCAACCCTTTCGCATCGGCCGCGAAGAAAATCACTCGACGGCCACGTAGGTATACGAATGCTTCGTTTCGACTTTGAATATTTTTCACTGTGCAATCCTCCTTCTTTCTTTTGTCGACGACTATGATATTTACGACCCGTACGAGACGTCGCCGCCCACCGCGGTGCAGGACAACTACCCTCCTGCAGTTCGTCTTACAGCGACAATTACTTTTTTTCTCGACATTTTTGTGTGACATTATGTGTACGTAATTTCGGAAAAATATTTACCATAACTCCTAACGAGAGATATCACGACATGGGACAAGTGAACGCAACCGTTTGAACACCAAAAACTAGCCTAAAAATATTGAAATAACTTGAGCTGCTTGTATAAAAATAAAAAATTATTATTCATTGCGATTTAACTGCTCGTCATTCCAATAGATTAACTGCAACTTTCGTCTCAATAAGTGCAGATTCTGAATCTCGAGTACTGAGTAGGTGTGATTGTTCATAGGTCTCAAAACTAAAATTAAGTTTTAAATTTCCATATGAACCCTACCATTACATTACATTTTATATTTACAATTACAGATATTTTTATAAGGCTGGCTTTCCAGTCATACTGAATGGTTTCCATTATCAAGACATATCATGTTACTCAGTAATCATTATGTACATTGTATTAGTCAAATTATTTACTTATTGTATTAACAAATGCAGATTGTAAGTTGAATTTATAGAAAAAAAACTTTTGCAACCGACCAGGGCCATCGGAACTCAATTTATCAAATATGTATAAAAATTAAAAATCCATTTTTGGATTTTGGTAAAAATATTTACTCAACGGATGACTTGATTAATGCCATATTTTTAACTAAATTAAAGAGAAAAATTGAACTCTGGATATTAATTGAATTATATTTTAAACTACTAGCATATTAAAACTATCAATCATACGATTGGATTTATGTGTCGTGGTCAGCTATCTCGTTTTTGATTAGACAACGTTTATATTTTAAGATAGCAAGCAAACGTAATATTATAATTGCATATCCTATAAACGATTGTTAAAATTTAACAGTGTATGAAACAATCAAAAAGCTCAAAAATATACTACCTATAGCAGGTAAGTATTTACAATATAATATTTATGAAAATAGAAATATTATTTTTGATAACCATTTCGCTTCACATCCAAGTGCTTTAAACCTGGGATATTAGCATTTCGAAAAAAATTCTGAATATTTTTACCTGGGTACACAAGTATAAAATCTTTCCTAATATAGTAATATTTATAAATATATTTATTTACCAAATATACGGCACTATACATAATGTCTGCAGAAGAATAAAACATTTACGAGGACAGACTCGGGGTGGACTGTGCTTTAATGTTTACAATACATCGTAACAACTTACGACTGATACGTGGTATTGACATTATCTGTACCTAATTTTCATTACCATTACATGTACAGTACAATTTTTTATCTATGACGATACGATATTCAGGGACAATATTCGTCCGTGGACCGCGCGATCGTCAGGCCCAAAGGATTTTAGTCACGATCGACCGACGACGGTGGCGATGCACAATGGCTCGAAAACTGTAATATATTACACGTGATGTATAAACATAATACAAATCGGACATATACGTAACGCCTTTAATGCGTTTAAAATATATAAATTCACAGCACCAGTAGGTAATATATTTATATATATTTTATATACATGCATTTTATATGACGCTCACACACCAGGGACGACGACGACGTTATAAACATATACGACGTACGTAGTAAATAATATAATGTTATACACAAAAAAGAAGCGTCGAACAATATTGTTGGGTACAAAAATGGGGTATAATATATACGGGTATAAAAAAAAAGGGTTTTTGGACATTGGGTGCGTATATAATAAAATCCTTTACGGTAGATATATACACACATTATAAGAACACGTGTTGATTTGATACGCATATATATATATACATGCTGCAGTGTTTGCCACATGACTCGGCGCGATACACCGTATATTGTTATATATAATATTTAGTGTTACATTATATATATATACCTATATTGACTTTAATACACAATATCGTGTATACATAACATAACCTGATGTCGATAATCGGTGAAACTTTAACACTATACAACAAACACGCCGAGTGAATATTCATACGGATACAATAATATTATGATATTATTCACTATTCGTATACATAGATATCTAGAACTTAATTAACTCGAAATCATCGTTACCTCAAACTTTTTGCCGCGGTCTCTAGAAATTTCTAATATCGTATTAGTCGTATTCTTGGATAACTCGAACTTTTTGTCCCATCGACTTTGTTTTCACCAAGTCCAACTGTACATATATTGGCTATTTGCCGAACAACCGTTACCTACCGGCATTTCTTCTTATTTAGAATTAATTGTACGCTATGCCTAATTAATATTTAGTAATTATAATGTATAAGAGAACTCCGATGGTGTTTATATCGATTTTAATACGAATAAAGTCGAGAAGCCCCGTGCGGTTTTTCAAAATTCTATAAAATTTGAACATTTTATTTTACATTTCAACTGCCACCTTAACTGTTATAATATTTGTTCACCAATCTTCAGCCCCAAACCTATTTAGAAGATTAATACCCAAAAAAATGACAAGGGAATAATTCTCAAGCTTTGTAGAATTTTCGGATTTTGATGATTATTTTGTATCTGAGAGAAGAAAACTTTCTACATTGAACTCGATGTTTTATGATTTTTTTTTAATTTGTATAAAAAGCATAAAATTGTTTTATTTTTGAAAACATATTATTAAGTTTGAAATTATAATACTGAAGAACTATGTTCAATGCGTCCTATAGAATAATACCCTATATTTAAAATTATAATTGGTGATGATTATAAATTATCAAATTTGGTTGAAACACAATCATTATTCCACAGAGTGTATTTTTGTGGGCGAACTTACATTATCTGCAACGGGAGCCTTAATATCCTTAATATTATTGCAAAATCTGTAGTTTTTATTTATTTTCAAATGCATAATATAATATACTGAATAAGATTTTTAGTATTAGTGTTATTATCGAAATAACGATAGTACACAATCAAAGTTATCCTGTTTGTACGGCGAAAACATATAAGTATTATCACTTTTATCTGTTTAACTGCAGAATATTATTCGATTTTTTTCCCACGCACAAAATATTATGCCTATATGTTTTCGATATTTTTAAATT